ACACAGACACATATACACACACACACACACACACAGACACACACACACGGACCCCTACCTGACAAACAAACAAAATAACTGCTTCATTGCTTTAGACAAACTTTTTTTGTCTTTTTATTCCCATGCAAAGTACTTTAAACTGTATCTGTATGAAATTGTACCATACAACTTAACCTGACCTTTACTATTTAACTGTATTTTATTTTATTATAAATGGTTTTTTTAAAAAAACAATTTTAAATTATATCTTAAATGACTTCTCTTCCAATTGTCTCTGTTTTCTAGCAATATTTTAGCATAAAAATTAAATTAAATGTTCTGAATAATATGTTTTCCATTTTTGTTTTACACATAGTCCCAACGACTCTTATAATAATAATAATAATAATAATAATAATAATAATAAAACATGTTAATCCGTCATGATAAACAGGATAATCTTCAAAAGTTCACTTCGCCCCCTAGAACAACAAAGATTTTCAGCATCTACCGCTGAGTTATTCACTACTTCCATGCAAAAAGTAAGTCTAAGGCCTCAAGAAAATCAACTAGAAACAGCAACCTGGATCTTTATTCTATTGTCTTTCTTAATTTCATATTAACCATACATTAATTTTTATATATTAACCACCTTTTTCTCTAGTGCACTGATGACAGGTCTGCAGGTGCTTTTTGTCCTTTTTGTCTTCATCACATGTTGTGTCATTTATGATTGGCTCATGAGTCTGCATGGAGCAAATGGTGTGCTCACTGAAAGCTGCATGCAAGGATGAAGATTTATTAACTCCAAAACAGCTCTATCTGTGTCCCTCTAATTTGGGCTCTGAGATAACAGAACAATTGATCCTTTAGAGTGGTCAGCGGGCTAAGAGCATTTAGCTACCCATCACTAAATCAATGCTGACGCAGAAATAGGCCAGCTCTTGAATAACATTACCACTTCCACCTGAGTTTGGAACATTTTGGAGCTGCAGGAGGATTTTGGGAGACTGTGAGCAGCAGATTTAAGTCACATCCAGTCATATGTCTGCAACTACAATGTTCTCCATCTTGCAAGTCACCATCATTTTGTGGTTGATTTCTCTGCTTTCATACTGCAGCTCAGCCTATGAGCTCCATGATACCATCCACACTCTGAAAGAGGAAAACATCCACCTGCAGCACCGACTGGAGAACCTCACCCGGGCTCTCAGAGATTTGAAACTTCTGCTGACAGAACACTCCAAAGGTGAGAATTATCTGGTTGTTGGATTATAAATTAGTACATTTTCCAAATGCAAGTTCTGAATAGACATTTGTTTCACATTTAACAGTTCCTGGGAGGGAACACAACACTGAATTTCTGCACGCCTGGAAGGAATGGTCCCAACACGGTAAGGGCTGCTCAGTTTGACATTATAAAACGGCTCATCATAAATCTTTGTACCAAACTTTGTCTTATGTTTTCCAGGTGTTAGTGATGAGACTCACCAAATGTTGGAGCAGGCCCTCTGTTTAACCGAGCTCCACGGAGCTGCCCAGCCCATCTTCATCACTCTGGGTTTCCTTCTCATAGTCTCACCTTTCGCCTCTTTGGCTTTCCTGCTGCTGTCGTGACTCAGCTTCAAAACTGGTGCCAAGTAAAACTATTGTCTTTTGTAAGATTGGCTTTACTTCCACATTGTTTGGCATCCCACTGCTTAATGTATTAAAATTATAATAATTGTAAATAGCATTGTATTTCATTTAAATATATTTTTTATTTTCTAAAAGATTAATTTGGGATTTGGGAGGGGTTGTGCTGCATAAAAACTACCAATCACAGATATAGAGTATTTGAAAATTAATAGTAATTAATCATTTTTAACAGCATCATAATCAGTTTTAAAAACCCCTAATGTGTCATATGTGTGTTTAATGGTGAATTGTAAACCGTTCATGATGTCATGTAATCCCCTAGATGCTCAGTAATGTTACATAAGACATGACTTCTGTGTCCTCGGGAGCTTTTTGGAATAAACTTTTTTGGGATCAATAATATTAATTTGAAGTAAATATGTAATTCAAGGATTCAAAGGAAAGATTTGTCACATTCACAAGTAATATGGATGTGCTGCAAAGGCTGTGCTGAAAGACCAGTGTGAAAAATAAGGATTACAAAAAAGGAATGAACGAAAAAAAACGAAGATAAAAATGTATTTTATTTTTTTTAGAAATATATGTGATAAAAGTGAAATGTACATATGTCACAAGTGCATGGGCAGATCTAAAGAGACGAAGACAGCATGCTAGACAAGACCAAGGATATGCACTGGGAAAAGTTACTGGGTCTTTACCACAAAGACACCTCTTTTAATATCTACATTACACTGTGCACTCACACACATTATTTTGGAGAACTGGGATGCTACACCTCCTTTGGTGGATTTGTGTGTTTGATGTTGTCCTGAATCCAACAATGTTACATTTCGCCTGCTAAATCAGTCTTTGTCTGCTTAATTAAAATGACCCTTCCTGCATAGATTATAAATCGGTGCATTTGTACTTTAATTTCCATTTGATTATGCTGAATGGATGGTCAATTTACATTTGCAAGGACTTCATCTGGCCCCAGTAGACATGTGGGAAGACTACAGAAGCCTATGTTAGCTGCAGCCATGCATGTGATAGAGAAGCCACTGCATGCATGGCTCTTTTTGTTTGGTTATGTATACTCTTCTCCCCCTTTAGCATAAAAAGAAGACACTTTATGGTTGAAACTGGACTAATAAATCTACAGTCATGAAGACTAAATGCTAAATGCTAACATAAGCATGCTAACAGCCTCTTAATGACAATATTAACATGCTGTTGTTTCACAGGAATAATCTTTACCATCTTGTTAATTAGCACCAAACACAAAGTGCATTTCAGGCTTTCAGAATGTCATTAGTAATAAAACACAATATGATGAAATACATTTCTGACAAAACTTTAAAATTAGCAGCTGTACTTTGTACTTTGGAATCAGCCTTTTGTTTAAATTATCTCACCTACTGGCAGATTCTCTTGAGATTCTGTAATGAGTTTAATGACCTATTAGTATAGACATCTTTTACCGTGAAATCTTTACAGTTATGCTAAAGTGCCACCTTCTTAAATGCTTGTTCTAAAATGCCCTTTAGAGTGATTGAGTGCAGCAGTCATTATCATCCCCCATTAACCTACATTTAAGGGGAAACACTCACACAACGAACACTTACACATTAAACTGACAAATGTGTTAAGGTGTAGGTCACTGTGTGCTAAAACAACAGTTCTTCATTCACTAACACATTATAACACATTGTACACATTATTTAGTGTTGTTGTGATGTTAGCTGACACAATATTGTGCTGGCAATGTGGGAAGTGGTTTTGGCACACAAACAAAAGGGTGAAGGGTTGATTCCAACATCAGCTATGAGCACTACTGCTCACCGTGAGAAAAAAATTACTTGTGGTTACTTCAAAAAAAGGGGAGAGAAAGAACTGTAATGTGAAAGTCAAATATTGTTCTATACATTACTTAGTCAGTACCCTTTACTGTAATGCACTGAACTTCGAAACTCCTGTCTAATAAAGGGAAAAAGTACGCCCAAAAGTACATATACAGTATATATATATATATATAGTAAATACCATCATCTTAAAAGATTAAATAGTAAAGAAACATATAGACACATCATTATATACAGATACCAGCAACAGATACAATAATTTACTCTGAAAGTCCTATTGGGGAGAAAACACTGAAATATTCTTATTTATTTTATTTTTTATTTAATACTTTATTTCAACCCCATCCAACACCTCGTGAAAGTGAACATTCAACTTAATGCCTAGCATCAGTGTCAATGCTCTTGTGGCTAAATGGGAGCAAATCCTTGCAGCCAGGATCCAATCTCTGGTGGAAACCCTTTTCAGCATAGTGGATGGTGTTGCAGCAGATTAATGCCCATAGCTTCAGAATGAGATTCAGAATGAACAATCACATGTGGGTGTAATCTCCATGTATCAACTTACTTTGGGCAGTGTAAGTGAGTATAGTGGCCCAAATGTACTGTATAAAAAGAAAAAGTGCATCAGCCTTTTCTATCTTCATTTTACAACCAAGTAAAATGCTTGAAAATCTCTCACTCACTATAATCAGTGGACACTTGGCTACACATTTAAATTTATTGTAGTGTTGTAGTGTAGTTTTTGCATCTGTTTACTGTCTAAATAATGGGTACACAATTACGGTTTTGTGCTTCATTACAGCTGTTGGTTTTGAATAAGAATGCCACAGTGTGTGTGTGTGTGTGTGTGTGTGTGTGTTTGTGTGTGTTTGTGTGTGTGAGGGAGGGTGGAGGGTGCATAGCACATGCGTGCGGCTGTTGCTTTCCCAGCTGGAAGCTCGGGATCAGGAGAACAGAGGTTCTGCACAGACTTCAGAGACGAATGGGCTGATTGCAAACCAACACAGAAACAATCCTTGGACACATGCAGGGTAAGTATTGATAACTCTCAATGGTCTTTAAGTAGATAAAAATGTGATGCCTCAAGGACATCTTGTTAAAAAAAAAAAATGTGTTGCATCATGAACATCTTGATAAGCAACTTGTAAAATAGCATCTGTGTTGTGTTTAGTTTAACAAGTGTGATGTGCTTTTTTAAATACTACTTGTACCTTTAAAGTCCACTGATCATATTGGAGCGTGCTGTATTTATTCATATGCTAATGCAGCCCTTACCTTGTTTCTGAGGGCACCATACATTATTATTGCACGACATGCACTAAGTAGAAATCAGCATTGAATTTCTGTTTCTCTTGTATATCTGTGGAATGCAACATAAGCTTAATTGTTCCAAAATATTGTTCCTGAGAGCCCTTTGCAATAAAACCAGAAAAGTAGAGGTAATGCTTCAAAATCTAGCTTATGTACTGTAATAAATACAAATAACAGTTTAAAATGACCAAATCACAGTGGTGCTCAGTATTCAGATCCCAATCTTAAGAAAAATTGGCAATGCTAGTGTACTCTGTAACAAGTAAAAATCATGCATTAACATTTTACTAGCTACAATGCACTTTCTTTTTGTGTTGATTTTGGCGGCCCCTGTGGATAGAAGTTGTAGTGTTTTCTTGTTTTATTTGTTTCTAGATGAATTTGACCAGATTCTTTCCTGTGGCAGGCATTAAGAATGACTATATAGAAATAGCCAATCGTCTTACTGTTTGTTTACTGTTTGTTTGTCATATAGAAGCATCAGTATTAAATTAAGACATACATAACCTGTTAAAAACTCCTTGTAGTACATTTAAGTAAAAGTACAAAAGTACAAATTCTAAATATACTTTAAGTACAAAAACTTAAAAATACTATTGTGCAGAATGGTCCATTTCAAAATAATGAATATATATTGCACTGTGTGGTATAATATATAGGCTAAGTGAAATAATTATGGATGCACGGCCCATGTAAGCTACAGTATGTTAGATAGGTAACATATGTATAATATAACATATGTTGCAGCTAGTAAATGTAGGAGTTATTTTAACTCCTCAATAAAGTTTATGTTTTGTATTATTAATGTGAATCTGCAAAGTAACCAGTGGCTACAGTTATCAGATAATTATAGTAAAGTAGAAAATACAGCATTTAAATTGTACTGAAGTAAATGTATAAAATATGTAAGACAAGATATATACTTTATTAATCCCCTATTGGGGAAATTCTTGCCTTGCTCAAGGGCACCTCAGCAGTGCACAGTAGGTGAGACTGGCACCTCTCCAGCTACCAAAACACTCCATATTTTGTGGTCTGTGGGACTTGAACCAGCGAGCCAAGTCCCTACACACTGAGCTACTGTCGCCCCTAGTCAACATCTCA